TGTGACGGGGATTACAGTAAAACACTTCTGACCTTCTGAAGCATAACTATGGTACAAGACTGCTGAAACATAGCAAAGAAAACCACTTGCACACATCGACAATGCCAGACTTTGACCATGTGGAAATGTGCTGGCATGTGAGCAGAGTGAAAGCTAAGTTACTGTAACAGCTATTATGACTAAATTTGCTAAACCCGACGAGCATGAACCCTGTTTCTATATTATGCTAGTAAGCAAGTTCAAGACATTTCTGAGACATTTCTGGATACTGGTGAAGCTGATGATTAAAGCAGTAGAATTACTCACAGACTACTCCAATTTGTAATATTGAATGTGAGATATTCATGTTTTGTCAAGCCAGGCAAAATCCTGGAAAGCTTGTTGATGCCACCATAACCTCTAAACGGCTCACCTGAAACTGTTAGTTTGCTGACATAGACAAAGAAATATAGTTTCAAAGAATACTAAGCCGTTCATGCACGTGCCTCAGGAGGAGAACATAACATGAGTTAACCATGAATCTGAAAAACCTCCCTGACTAAGTCCAAGCAGACACATATCTCAGGCATCTGACATGAAATATTGGCAGCGAAATAAACAGATAGTGGCCAAATCATAAAGAAAAGATTAGCCGATTAAACACTGAAGGTATGAACTACCTACTAAAGAGAGTAGGTCAAAAATTTGGGGGTGCATTTCCCCATTAGGGTGGTCCATCAACATGACCAGCCAGAAACTGCACGCGTAACAAAATTATGACATCCTAGTATTAGGCTCCACACTACAAGGTAGCAGAGCAGAGTGGATCTTCCAAGGTATTAATGGTCATAACCTAATGATCAATAAGGAGAAGTGTGAACTTCCCTAGAGTTCTACATGTACATCTCTTCCAGAGATGGCATTTCTCCACAGAACCCAAGCAAAGTGTACAGCCCGCTTGGTATAGCCAGAGCATGCTTTATTCCTGTTTGTGCCACAATAATAAGAAAGGTGCTGAGTGGGTATAACAACCCAAACAAAATAAGGCATCAAACAAAATGAAAGAGAACTGGTTGAACAATGCAGCCCCAGTAGGCCTGAAAGCCATTAAAGTGCGGACAGATAAGGAGTCAAACACACACATAGTAGCCTATGTATGCATAAGATATGCAAAGATACTCCGAAAATGTGAGGAAAGCTCTGGCTACAGTATGAAGCTTTGACCAGTTTTACCTGCTCAACTTGATCACCAACTAAAAGCCCCTGGATCTCAAATTCAGTGTAGCCAAGGGCAAGCCTACTGCAGGGATTGGACAATGAATGCTTAGGTTGAAACCCAATCAGTTTAAAGCAATCCACAGAGTAGGAAAATCTAACCCATGTCACACTCCCAAGAAACTGTGCTCTTCTCTGATCCTAAATGATGCTGACTCTGAGAGACACATCCAGTCCACTGCAGCTGATGCAATTCCTGAGGCACTGAAGCTGCAAGAGGTCAAAACAGAGACACTGAATGACTCATGTTTATAAAATTAGTTAAGATGATTCGTTCTGGGGACTGGAACACCCTGCAGAACCTTTCCTCAGACATAACACAGGCCACTCCAAGAACATGGTGAAATTAGATAGCCATCCACATCCGGTCAGCTCGAGAGCTCCTTTTCCAGGAACACCTGAACTAACTCATCAGACCACTTCACTGCTCAGTCTTCATCACCTATCCTTTGGTTATGAGCATTTAGCAATACGGGATGCTCATATTTTGCATGTATTTAATAGGAGTCTTGTCGTCGTGGCATTTCGATTTGAGTGTCAATTTAATTTTGAGCATCTACAGTGTGAGGCCTGAGCTCACATCTGTTGAAGATGGCAGTCATGTTCTCATAGGAATCAGACTCCTCAGGTCTAAAGCACTCTAGGCCTGAGCACTTACGAAGACCACGAGGGCATTGTTAAAACCAGCTGCTTAGAGAAAAAAAACTTGGTTTCTGGGTATAAACAAACTGGCTGAGAATATTATCTCCCATTGCATTCCCTGTCAGTCATCCACACACAAGACAGAACACCAACCTCTTCAGATGCTGGAGTTACCTCAGGAACTACAGATTTTTGTGAATCCTTGCTATCAGGTCACTGTCTCCTAGTAATTCTTAACAAACACTTCAGATTCCCATTTGTCTTTGACAGCCGTCTACCTCTGCAAGCACATTCATTCTTATTCTAGACAAAATGTGATCTACAGCCGGCATGCTAGACAAAGTCAAACCAGACTATGGAACTCCATTCCAAGTTGAATGTTTCAACAGGACCCTCACCAAAGCAATCATCACAGCAATAAAAGAAGGTAGGTCCTTGAAACAGGAGTCTTACAAATTCTTGAGAATTTTTAGAGCTACCCATCACCACACCACTAACCAATCCCCTGCTGAACACTTAGGGCAAACCCCTAAAGAACAAACTTCTTTCATGCTACTTTCACGGATGATGATCTATGCTGCACAGATTACTCAGAAAAAGGAAAACCTGAACGTCTTTGCTGAAAAATGGAGTAACCCAAAATCAAAACTTCAAGAAGGCGATGTTGTCATCATCAGGAAAACTGGTGACAATATTTGAGGCCAAGTCACGTCAATGAAAGGAATAATGATCACTGAACAGAGACATGAACATAGAGTTAAGAGACATTAAAGATGCTTCAACCTGCTGGAATGTCAACTAGAAGTTCCACTTGGAATGACCTCATACCCTTTGCTCAGTTCAAAGGCTTCAAATTGTAAGAAGCCATCAAATTTGTCAACAGAGAGTTCCCCTAGAGATTCATAGCTGAAATGTCGGATGAGTTTGAAAGCCTGAGTTAATGCTTGTTGGTTAAATGGAAGTATCAGTTAACTGAAGTTATGAAAAATATATGTTGCCTCATTCCTGTTGATAAGGATGTCTATTGACTACTGGTGTTAAGAATGTTTCCAATTTTCATTCTTAGAAGGAGGGGTGTAGTGTATTGTAAATATACTTTTAAGGGATAACATACCATAATGTGCCAACACTAGGTAGGTATTAGTAGAAATTGCATGGCTTAGATAAAAGAACTGACCATTCAATTTTTGGATGCCATTCAATATAGAATGTCATCTAGCTTTTTTCAATTGAGTGGGCGATTGAGGCATTAAAGGAGTGGTACGTGACATCATCGCTGTACTGTAAGATGTAAATGCTCAAGCTGTGGATTCAGGTGTTATGACCTTTACTGGGTTCTGAACCAGCAGTTTGTGATTCAAGGACTAAATGTGAAATGGGAACATCCACTCTCCACTTTTTTCCACCCTCTCATTCGACCACAATAGCTTTGATTCCTGGCAACAATAATAAACAAACATACTGCATTCCTTCCTAAGCCAAAGTTAGTAAGATCAACTCCATGACAGTTCTCAGAATCCAAGCCAAAGCATCCTCGTGACCAACTCTACACTACAAAGTCCTGAACACATGCGTTGAATGGCAACTGAATTTCATGGCCACTGGGATTTGCTGTTTTTCCAAATGCAGTTCAACTCCAGGAAGCCCAGTATCTGTGGCTGTGCCATTCCCATGCAAACAGGGAACGATGAGAGCCATGTTCAGAGCAGATTTTGGCAGGTGTTATTTTATTATATTTCACAAGGGTGTTCTTGATTCTGAGTGAAGCATTAGAGAAACAAGTCAACAGCATGTACTTCCATTCACGATGGATGTGCTGTTTGCTCGGTGCTGCCAGAAACATATTTTTTTCTTTTTTTTTTTGGGAACAACATTTTTTCCCACAGACAGCAATTTTATCCTATAGTAGGATTAAGATTTGAATAAGATTTTAAATAACATCAAGTTAAAAGTGCATTTAACAGTCTAGTGAGCCATGCAAACTGTTAACAACTAACATTTTTCTGAAATGGTCCCCTTATCTGACAATTTTCAAACTGACTAACCCATTGCAAAAACGGGCCAAGCAAGGCCACTTTTGCTGGGCTTGATGATAATTGAATTTCACAAGAAAATTGCTGACTAATTTGAAATTACTGCATCCCTTCTTACAGTATTCCAAACCTTCTAAGGCTTCAAAAGCTTGTAGTCACAACTACAGTCCAAGCCCTCCAAATGGCATAAAAACTCCATATACTGTCTGACCTATCATTTCCTAGTAATTTCCCCAAAGCCTAGTTAAAATTCTAACCCAAGGGACCACAAGTAGCTGAACTCTGACCCTGGCCAGACCTAACAGCTGTTCCCAGGGGAGTTAGCTTAAAGTACTCTTATGGGTGCTACTTAATTCTTGAGGTAGACTAAAAAATATGGATACTGAGAACAGTTTCTATTGCTTTACAAACAGACTAAAGGCCAAAGTCACAGATGTGGTATCACACGGTTACAATCTGAGCTACTGCAACTGGGGGGGGGGAATGATTCACACATCTGCCTCCCAAAAAAACCAAACTGGCACAAGTCCCCCTTGGTTCTCTTGTTTACCAAAGCGCATCAAGTGAAGCGACTGAATAAACAACAGAAATAGCTGAAGTTGGACATTTAAATGCTATGAACTGAGATTGAACTGGCGCACGCACTCATAACAACATTAACCTTTGTACCAAAATGCATTCATTTTAGGGGCAGCTGGCTTGAGAGGAAATAAATATTATTTGTGCTGCAATAAGAGATAGAGAACAGTTGGAACATTAGTTAGCATCAGATTACCTCCCCTGTTTACCAATCAGCACATGACAGGTCTAACTTGTTACAGCAGGCCTTGTCATGTTATGGGGAAAGAGAAGGACAATAGCATACGCTCTTTGACCTATGCTAGAGGAGTGGTATGTTGCCTTAAATGAATGGCACTTTGAAGAGACACCTTTGTTCTAATTTTAGAAACCGTAACAGCCAATGAGAGTGAAACAAACAGGAAGCTCTCATTTCATTCAACATACAAGCACAATTGTAGAATGGAAGGAAACAGGAAACAAAAACCACACTTTTGTTTTGGCCTTTCTCACCTTGACAATGGGTTAGGTTCATCCTCTTGTAGCCCTTGGGGCACTCAACCTGGCCATGTGCGATCACTGCGTAAGCTGCAAGGACAAGACAGACACAAGTGGGAATGTTAAAAAATAAAGAAACCGAGATTTTGAGCTGAGAACTCTAGAATGCTCCGATGGTGTGCGTGGGTGCCTAGATTTTGGTGGGGCTGAACAATATGACTTGCAGATGTGTGCTTCCTGGCCAGAGAGGAACTGAAGGGACCCGTGTGCGGACCCTGAGGGACATCATAGAGCACATAGGCATATCAGTCAAAGGTGTTTATGCAAGAGCACAGCATTACCATCAACACAGGGGCATGACTACAAAAGGAAAACAAGGAAAATATACATTACTTAGCATCACATTACCATTTCAAACTACCCACAGAGAAAGAGAAGATTGTAAATATTTGTGGGCATCTGAAAATAATAAAAAGAGAATTTTTTATGAACTTTGGCAAGTTTGAAGCGCGCTGTGACTGTGGTCCTGCCCTGGGTCCTGTGAATAGTGCCATTATCACCACATTAAGCCTAACCAGGCCACTTATCTAAGGGCTATTAATCTTTTCCCTGGATTCCTATATTTTTTGTTCTTTTCAGCACAGGCTTCTCCCAGAATGAGATGAAGCAATAAGGGCCCCTTTTCCATCATTCACACATCTTTGAGCAGGCCCTCTGGTTCCCTGAACGCCGCAGCAGTTACACACAGGCTGAAAAAGAGGCCAGCTCCACACGACTGCCCGACGGGAGCCTGACATGGTGAGGTCGCTGTCGACCCCTTTCTGGAGGCATTTTGGTCATGGACAGGTCTTCTGGGGTGATGGAGGGTATCAGGTGCTCCAGGATGTGGTTTATGATCCAGGGAAGGGATTAAGGACAGGAACTGCAGACAACTGATGGCAGGTTTTACTACTTATACAATGGGAAACTGGACCCATGGAAGGGGAATACTCCTGGGGTGGCATGTGAAGGAAATGAGTATAAGGTAACTGGCCCCTTTGTAAACTAGGGCATTCGAGTGAAGGACTGGGAATCAGTGTGTGATACACATTGATTATTCCTGAAGCAAAATTCATAACCTCTAATAGGTAGGTGACTACAGAGGATCTGGAACAAGAAGCCCAGAACAAAGTATGTCTCCAGAGCTTTTTAACATTACTACATGAAATAAAAAGCAGATAAAAGGAACGCTAAAGAAATTTCACTTGCATACTGATGTGACTAACATATATATTCAGTGCAATTTGTATGCAACATCATTTGAATGTCAGTCAATGTGCCAATAAACATTAGCCTGCTTAGCCATAGCTTGGTTGGAATTTCCTCACTGGCAGCGACATGACGTTCCCCACTGTTGCTTCAAATCACAGTCTATGTTAGGAGAGGAAATTTGCCTTCAGCCTGAACCCAGCAGATCCAGAGCAGGCCAGGCCGCTGTCAGGTGGATGCCTTGCTGGTAGACGGTGAGTAAACATGGGTTGGGGTGAGGGTCCCCTACAAGGGTTTGCAAACAACATAAGTTCTATCATGTGTGTCACATCTGCCCCAATATTGATATGGGAAGGCGTAAATCTGTGACATTGTTTTTCTATTCCATCATGCAGAGTGTGGGCTGGGAACGTCAAAAGTAAACGAGTAACGAAGATCAGCTGGTAGACGATGTGCTCTACACTGTCTGAAGTGTTTTTTCCTTAAACACGAACTCCTAAACACATCGTCAACATTGAAAAGTCTTTATCAAGATCGGGGCCGAGTGTCCATCCAAAAAAGTGTCACAGTGAAGGAATGAATTTCACGATGGATTATTTACGACAAAGTCTCATGACATCTCCTCATGTCTCGTTATCACAGTATTATTTTTGGGAGTAGTTTGGGGGTCATATTTTTCTGGAGGTCTTGGAAGGTCCAAAACTTAGCTCTTTACTCTATGAAGCTTTTGTTACATAACTCAGAAGACAAGGGAAAACTGCAACAGCCTGTTCCAGCCGGGCTTGTTCTGCTGTCTTCTGGGTTTTGGGTGGTGAGTTCTAAAGCAAAAACAAATGCAGCAAAACCCCAACAAGAGAGCAGCAATGACTATACATCCGTATAGCAGATGTATGGCCTTTAAAACAAATATACGCACTATACTCAAGGCAAGAGTGTATATTTCACAACATTTGCAGGAATAAGTCTTGAAGGCCCCAAGTCTTCTTCTAAGTAGTTTCAATAAACCTTCTACTATGTTTCAGTGACCCATAAACCCCCTCCACACACACCCACACACACACACACACACAGTGGCCTCCATCAACTATGGTGCCGCAAGCCCCTTGCCGTGACCTTTCAATGATACTAATCGCTGAGCTTCTATTCTTCGTCCAGCCATGTGGCTGTCCTTCGTCAATACGCCGACGCGTGCGATTAGCGTCCACTCCTTGTGCGTGTCACTAAGGAGCTTGCCACCAATTCACGCAGGACCTCTTCCATCTTTCCTTTCCTTAGGCTAGTATCAGTGCAGTTCTGCTGCTATGGCCTGCTGCTTGCTTCCTCTGGAAAACTGTCACCATTTCAGACCGTTTGGGAAGAATCCGAACGGGACGGCGAACAGCACACAGCGTTAACAATCCTCTAACATTCCTCTGCGGGATGTAGAAGAGGAGGCCTCATAATCATATCCAGAATAAAAGGGAAAAGGGGACGACTGTAACAGTAGATTTCCCGCCACTGCACCCCCCGCCCCCCCCACAATTGTTTTTTTTTGTTTTCTTAAGCTGGTTCCTCAATGATACATTTCGGTCCACTGGCTCATTCCTCTGGTCTGCAACCAGCATCTGGGGATTCATCCGCCAGATCAGTAGTGGGTGAAAAACAAATGTTCTGGAGCAGGTCTCCTTCATAAGAGTGAGAAGGAAGCACCATACAGAGAAAGGCCACCGAGACAACAGGAGGCTGCCATGGTAGGAGAGCAGCAGGGCATATTGGGCATCATGTGGCATCAGGTGTGGTACAGGTCAAATGTCTAGTGAATAGATGGGTGAGGACTGCCAGACTGGTCAAATGGGTGCTGTCCGGTGGGAATCAAAGCTTTAAATTGATCATTTACCCTGCGGCTGAGTGGTCCACCCTGATGTCAGAGGGCAGAGGGGGCTATTTAACCGCGAAGCATATTCTGGGACCACCCCTGTCATCAGTCATCATCCTGTGCTCACCATAAAGGGGCCCCAGGGACCTGTTTGGAGAGATTGATCATGAGGACATGACTTCATGGCTGCTTGGGAGGGTAGAGGAGTGAGGGTGTGGCTCGAACCACAGGGGCGAATGGGAACACCCCTCGTTTAGGCCAGGGAGGTCAAGACACTGTGACCTGATGGAGTCACAGTGGAAAAAGCCAATCCCAGTACAAGCAATCCACAGATCTTTAATTGCAGGTAGAGCTGCCGTTGATTAGCACCGAAATCAACAGCTAATTATGAAAAAGAACTTATAGTTCTGTTCCAAAGCAGGGCGGTTGCATGGGTAGGGTAAGTCCATCAAGCAAGGATGGGGTCTAACTTTATAGGCTGGCACAGTGATTCCCAAAAACAGTTCTTAATTTCAACAAGTAATGAGTCATATGGAGAGACAATGCACCAATTAATGTCAAATTTTGGAGCAACAAGATATGCCAGCACATCAAATTTAGGCATTAGCATAGCAACGTCAAACCGGCACAGTTATTATTTGCAATTACAAGTGAATAGGAGGCACATTACACTGCTTTTCAGTTGGCAGGGCAACAACATGGCCTTTGCCAGGCAGTCCTACGACGATTAGGTCATCGATCTAACTAGTTTTCTGCTTCATTGAACTCATAATGAAAGGACCTCATTATTGTCCAATTTCCTACATAATGTGATGTAATTAATTTGTCTTTTTTATATAGGGCTGGCTAAGTTTTAAATCTTGTCGTTTTACTTGTAACTGTCATGGGGAAGCTCATGGGGAAGCTTTCTAGTGATCACTGGTCACTAGAAACCACTAGATACCATCAGAAATCCAAGTAATGTTTATTATTTTGGAGACGGCAAGGCAAAAAAAATATATGGAACTGTGAATTATGGACAAATGTGTGCCAACCTCATCAGATGTTAGTATGGTAACTAAGTATGGATATAGATTTGACATTTTGGAGATATCTCCTGGAAGACGTGAAAAGCAGCTGGCCTTGGACCATGTGGTCTGTCAGTTTGGCCCGATCAGGGTGGAAATCAGCCATTGTGAAATAAGAACCAAACCTTTCAGCAGCTTCTCAAAGACAGTAGAGGGGTCATCAGATCACTAGGAATTTTGGGACCAATGGGAATTTTAGACAACGATGGGCAAACTTTTACAGAGCAATTGCACTTGTGATTTCATGTCAGTCATCAATTGCCCAAAGTGAAATAATTATGGAGTTTAAAAAGTTAAGCACATGTCAGGCTGACTGGATAGTAGATGAAGGAAAGACAGCAGTGGAGTCTGTGGTCATAGAGAAGATCGATCTCATGAGGGATGAGATGGAACTCAGCCCCCTGCCCCAGGCTTTTGATCCAGAAGCTCATTAGAAACATCCTGACAGTCAAACAACCCTGGTGCTGCTGAACTCGAGAAGAGAGGTGTGAGGCGATGGAGGGCAGCTTTTGTGGGATGACATCATTCTGACCTTGCCTTCTCCAGCAGGAAGTACTTTACAGGCCATGGTTCCTGTGGGGCGGGAGTGATTTATTTCGCTCCCATGGGACCCTTAATCCAGCTCCCTGGGAAGGGTCCCAGAGCAAATGAAAGAGTCACCAGAAGGACCAGAAGGAAGGCAAATGTATGGGACTGAGTCATACTGTACATGGGACGCATTGCACCAAGGCTAAATGATATTGCCTCAAGAAGCAAAGCAGGCCATCCAGCATGGCACTGTGAAGGACAACTTCCAACCAACCTCAGAAACTTTCTCGAGGCACACTGATGAAGCCACTGTACGTCTCGGGTCATATCAAGCACCCACACAGCAAAACCATGTCACGTTGACTGAAAGCCACAAAATCAGGTAAAACATCTGCCCACAAAAACCTCAAAACCAAGAGGTCTAGCTGTCCCAGCATTGTCCATTTGCTGTCTATCTGCCAGCCTAAGGGGGTGCTCAGGTGTCCTCTGTTATTTTAAGAGACCCTTGCTGTAATTCCTCAGATCTTGAAAACTCAGTCTGGCAGGAACACCTGTCCCTGCAGGCGAGTCCCAACGGGGATCTAAAATAACCACCCACAATGTGATGTGATGATGTCTAGATGGTACTGCTGACCTACATCATGTGACCGGGAGAAATAAAGGTCCACATGAGAAAAACACTCATGACAGGAGGCTCTTCAACCAATCAGGGGACCACCGACACTCCAGCCAAAAAGCTGCTCTCCAGTGTGGCGTGGTGGTCAATGAATAGTTTTTAGGTTGAGCAGCTCATTTCCAAGCCAACAGAATATTCATGTTTTGAATTGCTTCACTGGTTGAAGAAGGCACTCTTTATCGTGCTTAAGGCGTTAGTTCTTTTGGTCCAATAATAGCAATAACAGTATGTCCATGAGGATTTGTGTAGAAGAAAACACATAATCCAATTTTCTTGCTATTGACACTGAACCACACTCTGATCTCTCATTATGAGTACATTGTGTTGTATCCAAAAAATTGATATAAATAGAAATACAATAGAAAAGTCCGTCTGGATAGTTTACGGTACTCAAGGGTGGATCTAAGCTGAGCAATGAGGTTTTTAGTGAAACCAGTCCACTCATATTGGTGCTTTTTTGTCCCTTCCATGTTCACGTTGGCAATACAGATCTTCAATATGTAACGACAATCGGTAGTTATTACTGAGATGAAAGAAAAATATTTTTTAAATTTATGAAATGTATTCATACCTGTAAAAGTTGTACTACAGCATTTAACCAGCAACTCTGCTCCTGATTGTACGACCCGCCCTCTCAGCTAATCAGTGCATCATCTTACCACTAACAAGACAACCCACCACATCCATTACACCAACAAAAAGCCACTCCTTTCTCCTTCGACAGCTCAAAGGCTCCCTCTATACCCCATGCTTTCATTCGAACCTCTGGTGCTTTCATCACCGAGAAAATGGCACTGCTGGGTTGATACACAGGAACAGGGAGCCTCGGTGCGTTCCGTGTGAGCCGCGATCAACTGTCCTCCCGATTTTGCCTGGTTGTCATCACTGGACGTTTACACAATGGAAACACAGACCGAACGCGCTCGCAGTCCTCTCCACTCTTCCGTATTTTCTACGCTAATGACGGCTGGAAACAGTCACACGAAGGGCAGCTGAGTACTTAAGTTTGGCGTTACGTTTGTCTAGAACAAATAGAAGCATTTAAAAAATTCTCTGCGAACGCATTTATTTATTTACTTTTTGGGGGGATTTTAGTGTTCTTGGAACAGTCAAGATGAAAATAAAATGAGTCTCATTCTCTTGGTCTTTTCCTCCAAGATCATGAACAGATGAGGCTGGAAGTACAGCGGGCCCACTGGACTTCTTGGGTCCTGGTTCTCATTACTGCGCGATTCTGTCAGCGCAGCTTCGCGATCCGGTTCTCCAGATTCGTTCTGTCAGCCTCGCTGCACGTGGCAGCTGCTCTCCGTGTCAGACACACTGCCAGATACAGCTGATCGGCACGCAGGTTCAGCCTGGTGTTGGTGGGAGGAGGGGTAACTGCGGTTTAATCAAGATCGTTTTGCTGAGATGCCCGTTGGCATTACGGTGGCTTGGCACCACGTATAGCCAATGCTGAAAGACCCGGGGGATGGGAAACGGGGACGGACCAATGAAGATCAACAAGACAGTCCGGGATGAGTTAACAGAATCAGAGGTACAGCAGTGGACCTCGGTACGGTTTGGTGTTGCCACATTCACACGGCTGATTTTAGCCTTGTTCCCAGCCAGACAGATGGCTCCACTCAAACATTAGGAGTGCAGTTCTCTCCATGCCGCCGATGATCTTGCGCTGGTTGTGCGCTTCTCTGTCTCCGCTACTTGTAGAAACGCCAAAGACGCCAAGCTTCAGAAAATGAAAATACCAAATCTGACACCTTTTCCCCAAGTCCTGCGAGTGACGTAACTGCCAATACATGCCAAGAGATGACAAAGCTGTTAAAGTTTATTAAAAGGCTTTAACATTAATTCACTTTAGAGTGTGTGAACTATTACAGTAAACATCCGGATCCATAAATGGGAAGTGTTGTAAACTGTAGAGTGATTAAACGGGTTAGACTGGAAAAGAACTTAACCCATATGAACATGGCAAATAAAACCAAAGGTAATTTAATAGTGTTTACACTATAAAAGCACATTAGCATTTTTAATTAAAGCACTCTTATGGCCAAAAGAGGAAAGCCAACGTGTTAAATTTATATAAAACACATGTAATGACCTTGGAGCATGGCAGGTTGGTTTAAAAATGTCTGCTTGAGCTTTGTTCTCAAGATGGCAGAATAAATAACATCCACACTGTTGCACGACCCGAGGATGATGATGACAGTGGCTACACAGGTGCCAGTCAAAGCGAGGGTTGGTGTTCCCGAGTGAGAGCTGCGTGGACGGGCTTGCTCTATAAAGCACGCAGGGGGGAAATTAGCCACTCACTCTGGCAGAACACAGTGGCCAGCAATGTGCGGAATGACAAAACAATTACCGTTCCCAGGTGCGCTGGAGGGCCAGGTGCCAGCACATTAAAACTCATGTTCGACGTTGGGGCTGCGGATTTAGGCTCTGCTTCTGCGAAAACTCGCTGGGCACAACAGCGATCTGATTGTGCTATAACCATGAAACTTTAGATATAAAAAGTGGGACTAGAACCCAAACACTGAGAAGGATGCCGAAATGTGCTGTGCTTTAGGCTCACACAGGAATCTCGCTGTATTATAATCTAAACACTAAAGCCAAAGCAACTGTTTTACCGTGCCCTTGTTGAGAGGGTTAAAATGTGCTTCTCCACTTTCTTTCTGGAAGGTTCCACGTGCGGCATGCAACAAAGGCACATTTGTTCCCATGCTGGAACCAGCGGGAGATGACAGACCGGGCTGAGGAAGAAGGAGTGAGATGCGGGGGGGGGGGGGGGGCAGTCTGTCTACTCCAGATGGGCCTTTTCACTGAGGTACACCAGAAAGTGATCAGTAGTCGGGGGGGGGGGGGGTTCCATGTCCCCCAAATTTGCAGAAACTTTTTTTTGGAGGAACGAGCAATTCCGAGAGGCTTTGGAATCAGAACGTGGACCACAGGCAAAAAAGAAAAGTGAGGGGCCACATGGTTGAGACTGGAGAGGCGATGTCTGCTTCGGGTTCGAACGCTATTAAATGACTGGGCAAAAATAAAGTGGCACAAGCCTTTCTGACAAGCAATTGACATCTACCAGCAGCAGATAGTGAGGACAAACTGGTTTTGTAACTGGATTACCAATGCTGCCCCTCCTTCCTAAAATAGCAATACATCCCTATTTAAGAGCCCAAAACACAGGGAAATATGCCTTGAAAGCCGTCCCCCCCCACCCTCTTGACTATGTTTATATTTGATGCGTCCCTGTTCAAAAGCCCACAAAAGTAGGCTTTCCACCTCGGGTGGGGGGATACTTTTCAAAACGGTTGGGAGGTGGATGTAAACAGTGTCGCAGTAGGGAAATAGCAGGATGCCAGGGAATCTGATTTGGGGGGGCTCACGAGCATTCCTGACACATTGCGTTATATATAAGACTGCTGCTCTTTATTTCAGGGGCTTGTTTTCGTACTGCAAGCACAAAATGCTTTTTACGAGGTGGGGGGCAGCTTGCTGCGGTTGAATTCGCGCCACGCACGAGAAGCTGTGATAATTACAAACGACTGTAACTAGGCATGGCTATAAATTAGCTTTGTAGGACCTCATTAGAGTAAATACAGGATTGTTGTCTACAGTGACTATATAAATGTCCCTTGTAAATAATATTGGGAGAAGGCTCAGTTTACCCAGTGTTAAGGCATCGAGACATTGACCTGACAGCTCTGTTTTCCAACATCAGAAAGAGGCTAGTCTCCATGGAAACAGGAGAAACTCAAAATCTGTCCATTTGATTGGATGAAAATGTTTGTTACGTGTTTACTCAAAGAAAAGAAATAAAACAGGATGTGGCAGGCAGGAATATGTGGCACCCTGAAATGCACAGCAGTGAGCTATTAACGTGCGGAGTCGTATTTGGCAGGTTAGCATAAGGAGAACCGTGCATGAACTAAGCATGGACTAATATCCTTGTAACTAATATCTCATTACCACTAATCCTGGTCATGGCTGCGGGTGAGGGGCTGGAACCAATCCCTGGCAGCACAAGGCACACGACTATGGCATACGGCAGATAGGAGGCCACTATAGACCTACTTTTGTATATGCATGCGTTTATGCAAATTTATGGCCAGATGTTGGGCTCATGTGGGGAAGAGGGTTAGGACCAGGAAAGAGGGTATGTGAGGCAGGGGTAATGTGGGTGCAGCGGAGTGGCCACATGGGGGTGGGGGGGCTCACCTGGTTTGGGTGGACATTCCGTGCACTTGTTGAGGCCCCAGGAGGCCCCCACGCTGCCACAGCAGTCCTCCTGTCTGGTAAGGCCCGGGAGCGGCTTGCCGCACTGTAAGGCATGAGGACATGTGTGTTCATTATACAGGGTACTCCAGACATTTGAGGCTGTGGCAAAAAAAATCTGCAGGCATCTGATTGATAAACCCATTAAATTTCCAAGCGAATCGGAATTTCTTCATGGGTAGGAAAACGACGACGGTCAGCGTCAGCTCTGAGGGGCCAAAGCAGCTGTGCATTTTTGGGCTGTTCTTTATCACAGAGATACGATTTGCAGCTTCTGGACACGTCAGGTTCATTTTTCTATCTGAAGTACTATAAAAAAAAGCGGAGCAACAATCACCCCCCCCCCCCCCCCCATGCAGTATCTCTTCATCCCACAGATAATGTTGGAGGAATTATATTTGGAATTGGGCAGTAGTGGTGGTCGGAGGCTTCAAAGATAGAATCGACTGATACATTTAGCGAGAGAGACATGGGCACGGGCTCCTGAGGAGCTGAATGCGGGGCGGGGGGGGCGGGGGGGGGACTAGGAAGTGAGGAGGATTCTGAAGCTGACAGACCCAGAGGCTTACAACTCAAAAAGCCAAGCTGTCTTAGCTTTAACCCCAACTCCAACATCGTGGTGCTGCGACTGGAACATGAGACGGACCCGCTCATAAATCCTGATGGGGAGGGACATAAATAATGATGGGGGCAGACTTCCGAGAACAGGCAGCTGTACGCAGGCAGAGAGCAAAAAGGAGCAGCACAAGACTTCCACCAGGGACCTGGGTGGACATCCTGATGCTGTCAATCATCCCTAAACCCAACCCAATCCCCTTTTCACCCACCTACCTTCCCGTCAACTGTCTCTTGGAAGCACCGGCCCACATATCCGTTCAAGCGGTTATGCAGCCTGGTGTGGCTGTAGATGTCTCCGTTACCGTTGCCGTCACCGTAGCTCAGTATGACCCCGTTATTGTTGCTGCCGCTGATGCTGTTGCCGTGACCGTTACCGGGCTGTGACCTCTGCTGTACCGAGTGTGTTCCGCCTGTGCCGGCTTCCACTTCCACCTGGCCCGGCTTGACACGTGCCACCTGGTGGACCTGCACCTCCGCGTCCGGGGGGTGCTGGATGTGCACGTTGACCAGCGACGGCTGCATGGAGGCTGCCCAAAAAACACTTACTATCAGACTCCAGGATCATGATCTGTGGCCACCAGACAAAAACAGGGGCAGGACACGCCGTGGTCAGGCACGGGTCTGAGGCTTCCCTCTCATGACTGGAGTTGAGTCAAAACATGATATTCTCAGTGGACAAGTGTCCTTCATACCAGAATAGCTGGTAGTCAGCTTTTTTAACTACTGCAATTATAATGTTAAATGTAGATGCTCTTGTCTGTCGCTAAATGACAAGGGGCCATCAATGATGATGCTTCGCCTTTGTCGGGCTGGTCGGCGGGCCAGAATAATATCAGCATAGCGGCGAGCATATACTGATCCATCGTCAGATAAAGGAGTGATCAGCATTATCAAGCAGGGTGGGGGGAGGTCTGTTGGCATGAGCCCAGCAGATCGAGGTGTTTCAGGAAACACACGAGAATAGACGGCCATGCGTTCTGCGTTAATCAAAGGCCGATGGTGATGTTTAGCCGCCTGGCAGGAGGACGGCATGCCTGCACGGTGAAGTAGCCGTTCGCAGATGTTGTTTGGCCCGAGAAACACCCAGGATGTTATTGCTTCTGCCAGCACTGGGGTAAAAGCGGGAGGAGAAAGACAGGAAGGAGAAGAGTTTACGGCTGCTGGTGGCTTATTAGGGTCAACATCGATCAGGGAGCCCCACTGCGCTTCCAAAGTTTATCTGCTGATAAATAGCAGTCTGCAGACAGTACGAGCACTTGAAACGCACACCCGTTTTGTTACAGCCAGAATAAAAGCTGACTTTAATTGTGGCATGATGCAGCAGGAGAGCACGTGCTTGAGAGGGGGGAAGGGGGGGCAAGGCAGAGTGGAATCTGTGTCAGATCTGATCTGATCAGAAGTTAATTTGTGCTCCACAAATTTTCACAGCGATGAAAAGAGGCGGCTCTGGGCGTTTCACGGCTGAATCAGGACAGAGAATTAAAGACAGCAGAGAAACAGCATAAAACCCAAACTGATGCGGGAGGTCAGTATTGGAGGGTGACATGGACAGCATAATATATTACATAATAAACGTTACAGAAACAAAAACAGTTCCACAAAAGTGTTACAAACACATCACAATGTGTATGGCCAGGATTCCCAGGGTGTAGAGACTCTGTTCAGTGTCATTCTGTTCCTCGTGATTCTTTGTGTTCACTGTGACCGTGTCCAGACTGTCTGCGTTCAGGGTTCGCACCACCTCTCCCTTCGGTAACTGGTGCTTACCTTGCTGGTTGGAGAGGGGGAGGGTGTACATGGAGGAGCTGTGTCCCGCCTGGCCAGCCTGCTTCCTTGGGGAGGGGGGCTTCGCTGGGGGTGAAGCCGGGAGGTGGCAGAACTTCCCTGTGGAGTTTGATGGGCACCAGCACTGGTCCCGCCCGATACAGCGCCCCCCGTTCATGCAGGGGATCTGACAGAAGTCTGGAAAAGGGGAATGGTGATTAGCAACTGGGAGCGTATGAGTGCTCAGGGCTCAAAGTCACTTGATTTACGCATCTACACAAGCAAAACAGCTGGTGGCAACCGGGCCGGTAATGAAAAGCAGTGGAGAAGTTTAAGATAATGATGTTTAAGATGGAGGTAATAGAGGTTAATGGGAGGGGTGTTCCCTTACCAAGCTCCGCCCACAGCGCTGCACCTCCCATTAAAGGCCGCCTCTTTGAAATAGCCCAGGCAGGGCCTTCATTATAGACCCCCCCATGATCCCACAGGATCTTGCCCCTCCCCGCAGGCTTAATTAGCACCAAAATGCCCAATCGTTGCGACGTCCCCCCCCCCCCGCCAGTCGCGTGCACTGCCAAAAAAGTCATCTGTATCAGCTTGAAGTGGACTTGCCCAAATTCTGAGAATGCCCGGGGGTGCTTTGGTCGGGGGGGGGGGGGGGGGCGCAGACCAAGGAACTGGATACTCAATTGTAAACATGGTTTTGGGCTGATGGAGTCCATTTGGCCCCTTGCAGGACCATTTCTATTCCCACGTCCAAGGATGGATTTTACAGAAGTTAAAAAGGGGCCTTTGTGTCTCCATGTAGATTAAATTTACTGCTTGTAATCTTACAAGAGAAAGACATGTTGAGAGGTATGCAGGTCGCGCTGACATTCAGCAGGTGGGCCTGACAGAGATAAATAAAATCCCCCTTCGGGATTACAACCATCCTACACACCTGAGGTCGTGACCTATAGGATGCCTCCAATCCAACCTGCTTTCAGTTCCAGATTCTAAGGCCAGAGACTGAAAAATGTACGTGACCTGGTTGCTAAAAGAAGGCCTTTTACGAGCACTGACTGCAGCTCGGGTTCCGACGCGAGGCCGCTTGGCATGTGGGCGGCACCGACGCAGCGGTCAGGGGCCGGCATTCTTGCTCTTGGGATGCAAAGTGAGGAGCGAAGCTTGGCTGTCGAGGTCACGCAGATGCAGTGCAGGTAACGGCTCTGGGATTGAGGCCCGGAGGCATACAGACCTCTTTCTTACAAAATGAACACTGACACTGCGAAGCCGTCCCAGCTTTTCCTCAGGACGCCCCCAGCCACATCTTCTGCTTCTGGAGTTGACACTATAGCCCAGGGGTGGGCAATCTTATCCGCAAAGGGCCGCTGTGTATGCAGGTTTCTGGGATAACCTGTAGGTCAGCTGTTCAAACCCAGGTGTGAGGACTCTTCAGCCAATCAGTCCTCTAATTAGTAATCTAATTAGTTGCAGCGAAAATCCGCATACACACCAGCCCTTTGCGGATAAGATTGCCCACCCCTGCTGTAGCCCAAAGGAAGGGCCCCTCTGATTGTACATTCGGGCTAAATTACTGACTACAAAGAGCCCCTAATTTCCTCGAACCTGAGCCTCACTCCTTTGCCGGACAGCTTCACCTTCCGCTCACCTCCTCTCTCCCCCAAGCACACTCACACCCGCCTCTCCACCTCCCGCGGCACCGTTTGCGTCGTAGCGTCAAAGGATCATCCCCCGCAGTGGCTGGCCCCCCCACTTCAGCACCGCTGCAGAGGGCCGACGTCTGTTCAGAGACGCAGGACCCTGAGTGTTCATCTCGGCTCAGGGTAACTTTTTACCGTGAAAGGATGGAACGAAGCACTCGGCGCTTACATGAGCCTGTCTGCTCCTGCCGTCCGACAGCAGCATAACAGCAGCATGACATAAGCACTCGCTGCCCCCGACGCGTCCAGCGGAGAATAACAACGACAATAAAAATGTACTCGGCTGCACACCAATGGAACTCCATTTACCGACATTAAAAAAATTAACTAAAAGGAAACAAAGAGGCAGTGGAACAGCGCTCTGTCCGTTAATGTTATTTTAATGCTTTAGATGAGCAACAAGATCCTAGGGGTTACTTTTCAGTGCGTGGGGGGGGGAAGAGGGGGGGCAGGGACAGCTGCCAAGTAACTGAAGCGTTTCACGTCTCTTAACGCTTTCCAAAAGCCTATTAATGGGACTGTAAATTCGGAAAAATGAGAAATATTTTTAAATATAAATGGGGAGTTGCTGTGTGTGTGGTATTGGGGGGGGGGGTGGGACTTACTCTTGAGGTAAATTTCAGTGCGAACCCAGGCTTTTAGCAGCGTGGGGGGTGTGAGCTTCTCCGGCTCTCGTTAAACCCGGTATGTGGTTGCTGGCATCGCTCCCCCGGCGCGAGGACCACGTCCCCTGTGTGGTTTGCGGTAAAGCCCGCGGTTAAATCCCCGACTTAATGTAATCCTTATTAATCCCTCTTTGCGGTGAGGCGGCATCTCATGGCCACCCGGCACATTAAACGGTTAATTTGGAGCCCCTTGAGGGGTGGGGGCCAATCCAGACGGGAGTTGGGGGGGGGCTGCATGTCTGGAACGTGAGAGAAGCCAAATCCACGTGCATGGTCCTATATCCCCTTTTTTAGCAGCTCGCAGGAAACGTGCTACTTTAATCCCCGTCTCCTTAACAGAGTATTTGACTCCTCTCTCGAACGCTCTAATCTCCAGGACTTTATGGCTACCTTGCACTTTTTTAAGCTGGAATTTGTCCCATTTTACTTTTTCCCCCATTAAAATATTAGGATGCAGAGGTATTAGAGGGAACTGCAGCGCTAGCAACTGTGTTTGGCGGGTCACTAAAGCGTCAGCTTTCACAGGCAGCACAGCGTGTTTGCGAGAAGGAGAAAGAGTGTGAGACAGCGATGGGAGGAGGAGGAGCAGTGCGAGGAAGGGCAGCACTCACAGAGGCGGAAGCCCTGGTTTTTCGGAGGCTGGCTCTGGTTCTCGCTGTAGACGGTGGTGGTGTCCCCTTTCTCACAGCTGTTGTGGCAGCGTCCGTTAGCACTGCAGATCCGCCGGCACACCATCGGGGTGAAGACGATCTTGATACGGTCCAGGCTGGAGGTGAGGTTGGCTCCTGGCAGGGAGGACAGAGGTTGGGTGAGGAGGTGCAGGAGGAGGAAGACCGAGAGGCCAGCGAGGAGACACATCGTCCAAGGCAGCGAGATTGCTTTCTGGGAGCCGGAGGAGGAGAGGGAGAGGCTTCAGTGTGAGAGTATGTGTGTGCGTCTATGTCAGCGCACTAGTGCGTGTGTGTGTGTGTGTGTGTGTGCTCTCGCGTGCAGGAGCAGCATCTGGGCAGGGGCACACTATGCTTATGAGGGAAGGATGTGTCACAGGGCCATGAGGCGGGAGCGGAGACGATCCAGTCGACAGTCGGGCGCGCCGCCAAGGTCGTTATCGTTAGGAAGAGGTGCACGACAGTGGGAAAGTTGTGTAATGCTGGGAACCTATTCAACTTCTGTTATACTAGGGATAGGGGGGGCGGAGAAAAAAAAACGAACAGATTGTGTTTATGGCTCTGAGGATTTGGGAGAGGAAACAGTTACGGAAGGACAGCAATGCCAGCGGAGTGGAGGCCCGACACCTTTGGCATGTCTGCAATTTGCCCCCCTATATTTGTACATGCAGGAACCCCCCACCAGAGGGAGTTAAGGGGAGGCTTAGATGTGTTTGGGGAGGTTGGGGGCTGGGAGGGGTATTAGCTAAAACTACCCTCGCAACGGGGATGAAAGCCCTTGCAGGCGGACTTGGGATCCGGAGCTAAGCTTGTACGTCTGTATCCTGTGTTCAGGAGTGGCTCCCAGGCAGAGTGCCTGACTCCGGCCCCCAGAGAAGGGGACTGAGGCAGCAGTAAGAGTCAGATCAATAGGATGGGGGAAAGGCTAGGAGTCATGTTATCTATTTCCATCCAGGAACAAGACTGCAGCCCTGCTCCTGGAGGTCTACCGCCCTGCAGAGCTTAGGTTCAGCTCTAAGTTAACACACCTGATACAAATAATCACACCTTTCAGTAGCATCTCAGTATTACAGCCAGCCATATGGAAGCTAAGCTGGCTCTGATACTGAGATGCAACTGAAGGGCCTGATTATCTGTATCAGGTGTGTTAAATTATGGCTGCACCTAAGCTCTGCAGAGTGGTAGACCTCCAGGAGCAGGGCTGCAGTCTTCGATAAAGGAAGCACGCATGGCCAAGTGCAGGGTCACTACCTGCTGGGACGACGGCATTGTTTAGAGTTTCGGTGGCCCGGTCTGCAGTGGGGGCCCTGTGGCGGCCCGGGGGCTGCCCATTGCCGTTAGTGCTGGGGAGTGCGTTGGAGGTGATGGGCCCAGTGGATGATGGGTAGCGCTTCACGGTCCGAGACGTCCCGGTCTGCTGAGAGGAGGTGTCAGCCGGGCCACGTCTCGCCAGCGTCCTGCCAATCAGAGAAGATAGAGCTCTGACTCCCTTCTGCACACACGTGCCCATACTGCTGAGCAGCCCAGTCCAAAACAACCCCAAATGACTCCGCCTGTCGTTGTGAATGAGCATGAACAAAAACCATTTTACATGAGGTCATAGCATTTGCTAACACACTTTAATAGATAAAACTGGATTTTTATGATAGTTTTTTTTTAAGCACGTTTTGCTATAATTGGATCAAGAATACTAAATTCCGGTCGGATCTGCTGTGATTCATTTACATCTGTTAGAGCTCAGAAAGCCATGTGCCTTGTTAATTAACTGAAAACATGAAAGGCATGCTAACGTAATACCAGTCATCGCTAATCAGCATTAAACAAGGAACTTGATGGCTTCACTGTTTGGCACCTGCTGCTCTAACATAGTCTCCCGCAAGTTTGTAACAGAAAGAATGCAGAGGTGGAAAGTTCATGTGCAGAAAGTACAAATCCAAACCAAGATTTTATTTCAACCTATCAGCTGTATAAAAGAGTATAAAAGTCACATTCACAGGGTACTCAACTGGTTTGTTGAAACAAAATCTTGTTTTGAATTTGTACTTTCTGCACCTGAACTTCCTACCTCTGAACTATGGTGAGCAAGTGACTGCAAACTCATCTCCAGCCTAGTGCAACCCTTTCTCTCGCACATCTTGGACACTTGCAATGAGTTCTTAAAGCAAACTTCTCTTTGAAGATGCCCCCAGGGACAGTGGTCTGTGCAGAAGATATGGCTCCTGGAAGAATTTACAAACATGCCCAGAACACAGAGCAGAACGTCAGGATCTTGGTCAGACGATAATTAAGGAATGGTCACATGAGGCCATTAATTACAGGCACCACTGGGACATGGTGATACCCACCCGACCATGTGCCCGGACCGTGGTATGAAAACAAGGAGAAATTTTCAACAACGAGCCCAACATGCAGGTGCAAGATGTGAATCGCTGAGCAGCTGTGTCTCATTGTCTCCCGATGTCCCTGATCCAAGCGTGGCACCTGTCCACAAGTCAGGGCTGAAGAGAGAAAGATCCAGAGAGGGCAAGAAACCATCTCCTTAATGAAGGCCATATGGTAGCCCCATACCATATAAGTGTAAAGTGAACAGGCATGGTCAACAAAAATGACCTTCCTCACACAAGACATGGAAGTCGTCGGTTCTATACTGATTGAGTTTCTTGGTACGCTATCCGACCCTTGAGCTGTCTGACGTTTTAGGAGTTGTAACTATGATTTTGAAAACAACAATCAAGTGAAATGAAGAATGGAAACAAACGGAAGATGGCCTGATACCTAATGACACCAGCATTCCTCTGCTAACATCTCCTGTCAAAGAGCTCCAGCTCTGGATGACAGCTGTTCACATCAGAACTGGCTGCACCTACTCCTGCTCTGTCATCAATGACAGTGAAAAACAAGCCCAGACATCGTTTATCTGCGCTACACGCAAATTGCCAGAGCCTGCCCTGTCATGACGGCCTTTTTCCATTCCTGTCTCCATGACACCTAGTGTTCATAAGTTTCTCGTCTTCCTGGGCTGAGCCAGATGGTATATTTACTATCAAAATATCCCTGTATCATGAGTTAACCTGTGTCATCTCTATATTTGGAAAGGGGAGTAATATTCTAGTGGCTTGATGTCATTGGTGCTTCAAGGCTAGAGGAATTATTAGTAGGAATCCTCAGCTGTCACAATGTAGCCGAGTGAAAAATACAATCCGAACATCTGCTTTTTTATTTTTTTAGCTGAGCTTTTTCTTAGTACGCTTAAGACATCAGAAAGTATGTTTTCCGAATCAAAACTGCAACATATTATTCTAATTAAAGTCAATTTATGATTACAGCAGTGAGACACATTAAGACCAAACAGAAAACATAAAGCAATGTGAAATTACTGAATTAGCAGAAACACATTCAGCCATTCCTGAACTGCTCCCTCTCTCTCTCTCTCTCTCTCTCTCTCTCTCTCGGGGCTAGTCTGTTAGTCTTTGCCTTTTTCTTTAAAGTGAAATCTTGTGATATGGGATTCTCTCGCTCCTTAATACCCCAGCAATGTATTCCTAAGGTGTCCAACTCACCCACAGGGTGGGCTGTGTTTGTTGAATGCTGCATACGATTGCCTTTAAAGACCATTGAGGCAGCCTACACTAGCCACATTAACGAATTCTCCAGCACTCGAGGACAATATGAGAGCCACATGAGACCCTGTAAAATGCAAGGGCGACGAGTCTCTCTCTCAGGTAGAGTGCAGTGTTCCACCGTTCAGGCATAGGTGCATGATGTTTGCACTATGCCCGAGGGGGTGTGCAAAAAAATACACTTTGTTTTCCTTTCCCTGTATCAGGGACACTGTGGCATTATGATGATCATACCTATGACTGAGGTGTGTGCATGACAGCTAATCTGTGTGACAGCTGTACTCAGCTACTGACTGGGTACTGTAACGAGACTGATGGGTGATTGGTGGAAGGTGTGCCTGTTGGGGGGGGGGGGGGGGCAGGGGTGGTTCCACATTGCAGCTGTTCGGCCGAATGGCTTTTACAAGCCGGCCCCTTCGGTTCTTCTCTACAAGCCAGACACCGGCTGTCAAGAGGCCTGTAATAGAGATCTAACGTTTCTCCTAATGACAAGGCCAGAAAAAGCCTCACAGGGAGATATTATAGCACAGTGGGCACCTATGTGCCAAATTTCTTCTATGTAATGCTGGAAATATAAGATTATGAATATACCAGCAGAATCAGTCAGTATGGAAACATAAGTGGCAGTTCCTAAACTTAAACCCAGGATAAGAGAACATGTCCCAGGTTCACATACTATGTTTACTCTACACTGTGCGTCTTATCTAGAAGAATTTTATTGAAAAGTATATTAAAAAAAAAAAAAAAAAACCACGGAACCACAGCCTCAGAAGCCACGGGTAAGAAAAATATATCTTGCACTGGCTTATTTCACTGGATGAAATTCCACTTCTGCTGCTGGTAGTTTATAGAGTGTTTTTGAACCACTGCTTATATAAGCCTACTTGCATTGCAGGAACTGAGACGGGAAATCCAACAAAAGCTCACAAGTTAGGCTCCAGTTCTTGTCCAGACTGGAGAAAGGTGTGTGAGACTCGGACAGAGGGTAGTCAAGAAGCCAGAAGCGTTCCTCACATACCCTCCACCAGTCTCCCTCGTTCACACACGAGCCCACTGCAGCAGGACCTACACGCCGACCACTCCCCAGTCTGGGTGCAGAACATACAGATGCCTCGCTGAAGAGGTGAACTCGCAAGGTTCTACTCCTACCCTGATATCTGGCAAATACTAAAATATCTTTTTTTTAATACCATGTTAGGAAAAACGAGTTACTAGCAAACAAAACGAAAAGCCAGGGTTGAAGAATATGAAAAGCTTGCCTTGTACCCAATCCAATCATTACGCAGTGCAGTTATTTTGGAAATGTGTCATGATACTTCCTCCAAACAAGGTACATCTCACCATTACATCATACTTGTAGCCCAGCTTGTAAAACAGGACTGGCCCGCCTCAATCCCAGAGCTTCTTGTGCCTGCTGACCCAGGTTAACACAGTGATGGGTGAGTGTGTCTTCATCGTGGCCTGTTGAATTTTTTGCATGGGATTGACCATTATCTGCCATAAAACATATAAATATATACAATCCACATCCACAGTGTGATACTCAGGGGGTGATTCTAAGGAAAATGATCGCTAAGTGGTGAAACTAGGGGTTAACATGGACAGTGTGGCCAGGCCCACGGCTTGAAGGAATAATATTTATCCTTAACAGTTATTTATAAGTGATTAAAAGTAGAGTCAGCTATAAACTGTTTTTGTGTGTTGCTGAAAAATGAGGCTGCTGTTTGCCAGAGAACATAACTTCTGGCTCATGGAACCACTGGAATTGATGTCCACCAATGATGCCATTAGCATCCCAAGAGAAAGAGGCACTGCAAGCGAATTCAAAGAGAACAACACGGGTGGAAAGAGTGATCACATGGCCGTGAGAAAACACTGAATCTTGGAAATTGTATAGATGGCACCTGGTTACATAATCTAGCTGAATGACACAGTAAGTATTGCTTTTCTGTGTAACGACGGGAGGCTAAAGATTCATTCACGATATTCCGGCTCACTGGGCTGCAAGGAGCTGCCAGATAGCTGGTGGGGGGGGCAACACTCAGAACAGATCATTTCCTATCAGTACATTTTTTTAGATTGCTATTGTTTTTTTGGCTGGTGCTAGTCGGCCACACTGCCGAAATTAATTTGATGGCTGTAGGGAATTAATCTGTCTCCAGTCCTTCTTTTGAGATGGCTCCGCTTTGGGGAGAAGAGCCAGGGTGTTTTTAGGTGCCAAAGGATTCACAACTGCTTCACATTTATTACAGGCCAGCATAAGCTGGGAATGAAAGTTTTTCTTCTTTTCAACCAATAGCAACCCCTGGAGAGCATTAACCAATAGGAGCCCCTCAAGACGTTTTCAACGAATAGGAGCCTCTGAGGAGAATTTAGACCAGGCCCAACGCAGTGCCTGGTGGTGCAAAGGGACTGTGGTCTTTTAAACGATATGGACAAACCATGCTTTTCTGCAAACCGCTGCATTCTGGCAAGTGCTCCAGTAATTCAAGAATATCTGGGTTCCCCCCCCCCCGCTTTTTTTAAGCAAAAGAACCGCACTTGATGTCTTGTTGAAGAAACAAACACACGGTTACACAAACACACTCCAAACACGATCCACATGAAAAGTGCAAACAAGGAATGTTATACATTTCGGCGCGGCTACGTAACACATGCCAGGCCTTCAGGGGGACGTGTTACAAATGGACAAACAAACAAGTCCACTTTCTAAACACATTCAGCATTTCGAGTGTCAGACAAGTATGCCCTGAAATCATCACGCATGCCAAGAGGCACGGGAGGTCTCCCAGCGGCGGGCAAACGGCTCTGGCTCCACGGAAAGAGTCAGTCTTCCA